AAAGATCATCAGAGAAGCTGAAGAAAATCTAAGAGCTATGTCTGATGCTATGAATAGGAACAACATTAGAATTATTGGATTACCGGAGGAAGACACAACAAAGAAGTCATCTGCAACAATAATAAGAGAAATACTGGCCACTAGAATACAAAAGCATATAAAAAAAATAATTGTGAGATTCATATAAGGGATGCAGGGATGGTTCAACATACGAAAGACCATTAACAATATTTGCCACATTTACATGAAAGATTATAAGAATCACATGATAATATTGATAGATGCAGAAAAAGGATTCGACAATATCCAACACCCAATCCTGTTTAAGACACTCAAGAACACAGGAATTGACGGAAAATTCCTCAATATTATACAAGTTATATATGAAAAACCAATAGCCAACATGGTAATTAATGGAGAAAAGACTAAATCAATTCCACTGAAAAGGGGGACCAGATAGGGATTCCCCTTGCCCCACTCCTATTTAACAACATACTTAAGGTCCTAGCTAACAAAATAAGACAAAGGACAGACATCAAAGGTATTCATCTGGGGAAGGAAGAGGTGAAACTGTCATTATTCGCAGATGATATGATTTTATATAGCAAAAATCCCCCAAACCCCACAAGTGAAGAACTGGAAGGAAAAGAGGAATACGGCAGAGTGGCAGGATATATGATCAACAAACAGAAGTCTATCGGACTGCTATACACATCTGACAAGATCACAGAAGAGTCCATTAAAAAGGTAGTGCCCTTTACAATAGTCAAACACAAACTGAAACATCTAGGGATATACTTGAATAAAAAAACAAAAGATTTGTATGAGGAAAACTACAAAACACAACAAATGGAAGAACATCCCATGCTCGTGGATAGGAAGACTCAATAAAGATGTCAGTTCTGCCCAAGGCACTATATAAGTTTAATGCTATCCCTATCCAGATACCATCAACCTTCTTCAAAGAATTGGAAAAACTGATTACCAAGCTCATATGGAGAGGGAAGAAGCCCAGAATTGGCAGAGAACTCCTCAAGAAGAAGGACACAGTGGGAGGGCTTGCTTTACCTGACTTTTGCACATATTATACAGCCACAGTAGTCAAAACTGCATGGTATTGATACAATGACAGATACTCAGACCAATGGAAAAGAACTAAAAACCCAGAAATAAAATCATCAGCATACAGAAAACTGATCTTTAATAAGGGCCCAAAAAACACTGAATGGGAAGCAGATGCCCTATTTAACAAGTGGTGCTGGAAAAAATTGACATCTACCTACAGAAAAATGGAGCAAGACCCTTATCTCACTCCATACACAAGAATAAAATTCAAGGCGGATCACAGACCTTGAAGTTAACCCCCAAACTATTAGGGCCATCAGTGAGGGAATTGGGACCAACTTGAGAACTTTGGCACAGGGAATACATAGGCTATCAGAAATAGGGAAGAACACAAACACAGAGGAGGCACAAATTGACAAATGGGATATACTGAAGATAAAACACCTGTGTACATCGAAAGAATTCACCAAGAGAGT